CTGAGGCACAAGCCCCCCAGGGCGAAAATCCGAGACGCCTGCGAAGGACCCTGATTTTTAGCAAAAAAACCTAATTTTTAGCAAAACATCCTAATTTTTAGCAAAAAAAAAACCTGATTTGGGGCAAAGAAACCCAATTTTTAGCAAAAAACCCTCCCTTTTGCTCAAAATCCCCATTTTAGCGAAAACCCCAACTTTTTCTCAAAATCCCAAATTTTTAACAGGGCCCTAATTTTTAGCAACACCCCTAATTTTTAGCAACCCCCCCAACTTTTTAGCTAAATACTCTAATTTTTACCAAAACCCCATTATTTTTAGCAAAAAACCCCTCACTTTTAGAGAAGAACCCTAATTTTGAGGAGAGAACCCTTATTTTTGACAAAAACCCCTAATTGTGAGCAAAAAACCCTACATTTTTAGCAACCCCCCCCAATTTTTAGCAAAGAACCCTCATTTTCATCAAAAGAGCCTCACTTTGAGCAAAGAACCCAAATTTTTATCAACCCCCCCTCATTTTTACCAGAAGACCCTTATTTTTAGCGAAATACCGTCATTTTTAGCAAAACCCTAATTTTTAACAAAAACCCCCAATTTTTTAGCAACCCCCCCTCGTTTTTAGGAAAGAAGCCTCACTTTTATCAACCCCCCTACTTGTTACCAAAAGACCCTGATTTGCAGCAAAAAACTGTGATTTTTTTTTTTAGAAAAAAAACTAAATTTGAGCAAAAAAATGGAATTTTTAGCAAAAAATTGTAATTTCTAGCACTGGGGCCAATCCAGGGCCCTATTTTCTGTGTTAAATCGGGGATCTGTTTCGGGGTTGACCCCGTGACCCCCCGTTGTCACCGGCAGGAGGGCGCGTGCACGAAGCTGGAGGAGGACATCCTGGACATCCCGCTGGACGACCCCGACGCCAACGCCGCCGCCGCCAAGATCCAGGCGAGTTTCCGCGGCCACATGACCCGCAAGAAGATGAAAGGCGGCGAGATGGAGCGGAAAGCCAAGGACGGCGACTGCGCCAACAGCTCCCGTGCTGCCGACCTCCGCAACGGCGACTAGGTACTGGAAATGCCCCAAAATTCCCAAAATTTCCCCAAAATTTACAAAAAATTCCAATCTTTCCCCAAATTTCACACAAATTCCCCATTTTCACAAAAATTTTCCCCAAAACACAAAATTCCACAAATTGCTCCAACTTTCCCAATGTTCCCAACTTTCCCAATGTTCCCAACATTCCCAACTTTCCCAAATTTGTCAAAATTTCCCCAAATTTCCCAAAAATTCCCAAAAATTCACATTTTTTTTCCAGATTTTCCCAAATTTTCCACAATTTCTCAAAATTTCCAAAATTTCACCAATTTTCCAAAAATTTCCCTCCCAAAACCCCAAATTGCTCCAACTTTCCCAAATGTGTCAAAATTCCCCAAATTGCCCCAAATTTTCCAAATTTCCCACAATTTTCCCCAGATTCCCCACATATCCCAAAATATCCCCAAATTCCCCGAATTTCTCCAACTTCCCCAAATCTCCCAATTTTCCCCAACTTTCACAATCTTCCAAAACTCCCCAGTTTCCCCTAAAGTTCACAGATTTCCCCAAATGTTCCCCAAATGTCCCCAATGTTCCCAGTTTCCCCAGACTTACCCAGTTTTCCCAAATGTCCCCCAAATTTCCAAAAATGTCCCCAAATTTCTCCAAATTTCTCCAAATTTCACAAATTTCCCATTTTCCCCAAATTTCCCCAACTTTCCCCAACTTTCCCAAAATGGCCCAATTTTCCCAGTTTTCCCCAATTTCCCCACATTTCAGCAAATTTATCCATATTTCACAACTTTCCCAATTTCCCCAAATTTCACAAATTTCCCTAAATTGCCCAAATCGCCCGTATTCTACCCCAAAATTTGGGCGTTTTATAAGGCTGCAGCTCCAAGCATCCTTCCCATTCCCAGTTTGGACTGGAGCATCCTTCCCAATCCCAGTTTGGGATGGAAAAAAAATTTTTTCTTGCTCCCGCCCGCCCCAATTTTTGCTGGAAAAGTGTTGTTTCTCGCTCCCTCCTGCCCCAATTTCTGATGGAAAAGTGTTTGTTTCCCGCTCCCGCCTGCCCCAGTTTTTGGAGTTTTTCTCCCTTAGCAACGCCGAACGCCTCGGCTCAGCAGCTGCTATTTTTAAAAAAATTGTGTCACAGTCTCCTGGCAGAAAAAAAAGGGAAAATTTGGGGAGAAAATTTTTTTTTTTGCAAT